TTTCATTATAAATTTTTTATGGCAGGCAAGAGCATCGTGTATTTGACTTTCAAGTTTTACAAATCTTTTATATTTGTGATCACATCGCCACCGTACGATTCATTACTAAACTCTGTATGAGATGTTCACGCTCGCAATAGCCGCACAGACTGAAGGCACATCGTAAAGTCTAACCCTCGTAAAGCGACGAACATCTGTATTGAAAATTTTTTTTATGAAAGGCAGTTTTAGGAGCAGTCGTTCTGTTGAACGCTCAGATCAGCAGCAGCAGTAACGAAGAACTGGTGGAATAGACTGTAGTCCAAGTTATGAAATTAACTGCTCGTCATTGAACAACCCATATCTTCCGCTGCGCGTAAAGGTCTGAAACGCCTATTCCAGGATGTTGGCCGAAAGGAGAGGTAATAACGCTGCTAGATCAGACTGAACTACGCTGTCGTTCTTTTGTGCGCCTTTTGTCGAGAGTCCTTCGAGACTCAGAAAAGCAAAACAGTATCATTTTCAGGAACTTAGATGGATAAGCACGAATTAAATTTTACCAGATTTTTCAGTAAACTTGACCTGAAGATTAAGATAGTCTTTTGTGTCAGATCTTTTCTGATGATACATAAATTTCTACCTGGTGGGTGCTTAAGTATTTTCTAGTTTTCGTTTTCTTGTGCCGATCATTGCTCTTTAGGTGACTTTACAGAAAGACACCTCAAATGTCTTCACAACATGTATATTTGTTAGTTTGCAGGCCTCTTGGCACGCAGCAGCTTTATCACTCATTCGACGGTCGTTCTGTCTTCTTCACATGTGGTGATTTGCACCTATGTGTACATCGCATAATGAATGAATGCCATGAGAACGAACTTTTTGACTTGTGCTATAAACCCACAACGCAAATCAGTGATTCAGCACGATTCATTCCAGTCGTTTCGCACTTACGCTAAACGTTGCTTGATGCACAGGCTTAGAAAAAAGTATTTTCTCTCACTGTCGTTTTCTATGACTTGAACTAACATTCAACGCAAGTACGTCTGAAAATTTTATTTCTGTCAAACAAAGCATTTTGAAAGACTCGACAGTACAGTTTCGATCTGTCGCTTTCCGTAGGACTTTTAAGTGCTGATCATCAGTTGCTGTTTCAGCAGTCTCGATTTCACATCTTCTGCCTCCACCACTGACCAAGTAATTTGACCATCGGCTCGTCCAAGCATATTCTTGAACGACCGAGTAGGCGTTTGTTGTCAGCGGAACCCAGTTTGTAATTTTTATGTCCACTGCTGGTTTCTCAGGCAAGCCACATGGCTGGCCTTCGCTGGGATGATCCGATGGTCAAATTACTTGGTTCAACGATGGAGCCAGAAAATGCAAAATAGTGAATATTGGAGGAGCGTTGACTTGCGTTTATAGCGCACTCATAACAAGGACAAATCGTATTACTGATTACAATGAAAAAAACCAACGATTAAAGCAAACGGTTAGTTAAACACAATAGTTTAAATACATCAAACGACTGAAACAACCTGTTCATTTTCTGCAATTTGTGCTAACGGATAGTGGTAATTATGCTAGTGCTCGAACAAACTCTTATTTAGCCCAACTCATTGACGCGATCTTCCATCGTGTGCACTGCTGGTGCTTAAATGCCATGAAGCTGTAACCGTCTTAAATGATCCCCCAGGCGATTAAAAGTAACGGGGCGGTACAACCTGGTGTAACGACTAACGGCGTTCATTATCGCCGTAAAGTAAGTAAACTGTTTTACAATTTTCGCAGTGTAAATCCGGTATATTTAGCTAAAGGATTATATTTACCGGTGAAATTCTGAAAGCTACCATTCTTCGTAGCTGCTCAGAATATGATGTTCTTTTTTTACATTTTGCGTTCAGCAGAGATTGGCATGATTCCTTAATTACTAATGCAATCATGTCTTTGTATCCATCTGTAATGATGAGTCTCCGGGGTCCAGTCCAAGATTATTTTTTCAGGCACTGCTCGCTGTGTCTGAGTGATCGCGCTCATTGCTAGGGTGGTTTTCGACTGTTTTAATATCACCACTGCCAAAGCACCGAATGTCTTCTCGACAAAGGGAACATCACAACAATAAGCAATTATCATTACACCTAGAGACACCGCGTTACTAACTTTTTGAAGGAGCGAAGACTGAAATATTAAACCAGAATAGTTGTTCCTTTACTGAAAATTAATAAAACCCCAGTTTGTCAGAGCTGATCTGCGACGGCATAACTCTAGTTAACGTGTAACAGCGAGCTGTAACCAGAAGGAAACAGCCGGATGTGTCCAGATAGATGCCTGAAGCTGCACTCCGCTTGCAATACCGATATATGAAGTATATCGAGATATGTTCGCTAGATATAATGAGATCTTGACACCTTACCCAGATACCCTGATTTTGGTCACAACCACCCTTCGGCTTCAAAAATAAACCCATTAGAAAATACATTGGGCTTCCTTGAAAGGGCGATGCGAAGGGAAAGTAAAAACTGAGCTGCCGTGTTTTTTACATAACTGTTTTTCTAAATATGGAATAATGTTGCAGTTTTGCTATTCGGTATTTTGTTTACGGGCTTCACCCCATTAGATCTTAATCAAAGTAGAGGACGATGCTTTAGGCAACGGACTTAAATTTCTACCGTAGGTTTCTGATATATACCGCCATGGATTTATGATCAAAAATATTCTCACCCACCGGGATTCCAGTCATAATGAAAGGTTAAAGTGGCTGATTAAATAAGGAGGCCCAGACTACAGTTTTTTACTCCAACTAATTTTGAGCTATTCAGATTTGTGAAATAAGGGCAATGGCATAAGTAGTCAGCCATTGCACTTGAGGGGAGCAGGCTGCAAATTCGATCACGGCGTAAAAATATTTCATGTTACGTATTAAATCCTATGAATAAGGAATGCACTCCATACTTCGGTGAAACCAGCTGAGAAACAAGTATCACGGCGCTCACTCACAAACAATACGGATAGCATGGTAATAACCTGGTGTTCATGCAAGAGTGTGGTTAATCTACCGTCATGTTTAATAAGTGAACGCTACGAATGTAGTTCCCGTTGATCCGTCCGACAGCTTACAAAAAATTAGCGTAAGGTGCAAATCGTAAATGAAATTAAACATTATTTAAATGAAAGCTGAAAGCATGAAGATAGCATCGATACTTCAGAAATTGATCGAACACACAATTACAGTGATCAAGCACAAACCACGTCCATCTTTTCAGTCTTAGTAATACGAAATCCATGTAACTGGGAGAAGCCTTATCTTATACTTGAAATTAATGTAAAACATTCTTTACAAGCAGTAGTTGATACACGACAGAAATGTTTTAAATATTCAAGACTTAGCGGTTACATACATTATTATTTCATCCTTTAATAGCGTAAGATAAGACTAAATATAAGTTGACCGAATTGGTAAATTGAGGCAAAAACAGAAAGGACATTTTGCTTAGGTTTAATACTTATGAATTTACTTCTATTTCCGTTAATAAAATTTGTCAATATTACAGCCCAAAGCAAAATTGCGGAGATACAATCATGAACTAGGTTATTATCGCTGTTAGTACATTGTACTCAATATATTGTGCTGAGTCTGATCATATTACTACTGTTCATTAATGTGCGATAAATTCCACAAAGGTGCACAAATGTTTTGTAAAAATTAAGAGGTACTGTTACATTGGTAATAATTATCACTTTTATCCAGCTTCTCTTCACAATTCAGAGATCTTGTGTTTCAGCACTCAATGAAAAGAATTGCCTTCGAGGCCTACGGCATGATGCTATTTCCGTACTTACTTTGCGAATGACTCTGGCGGTTAATAAATTAAACCTTTACGTCTGCACGGCGCCAAATAACAAATAAAGCGGAAACAGAAGACAAATAACGCGAAAAGAGTAACTTCTGAGAGACATGCTAGAATTTTCAGAAATATTTAATAAAAAACAGAAAATTCATAACGAAACACAATAACAGCAGTAACAATAAAGGGCAAACATCACATCAAGCTATCCAATTAATTCGAATCATTCGCCGTTACAGAGAAAAACAGCAACGACACGTGACGGTCATTGCAGTTCGGCCACATATCGGTTTACCTCAATTGAACTCCCGGACAGACGTCGTTGGGGAAGCATATATGCCCGCAGGATTCAACATGACGTTTAAACTGAAAACACTAGAAGGA